CCTTTGTCTATCATCCGGTAATCGTTCGAATATATTTCATTTCGATATGTTTACATGTATTTTCATAATCGACGATCGACGTGTGTTTTCCACTGTACCTTCAATGCTTTTTGATTACTTTGGTGATTTTTCTAAGTACTGGATGAGAATTTTAAAATTTTTAAAAAAATGTTGAACAATTGAATTGGGATGTGGGTTTTTGCTTAATTACTGTTTTTGACAAGTATATTTTTGCGAACAGCATGAAAGATTATATCTCCCAGTCAAAATTTACTTTCATGTTCGACGATCAACGTGTGTTTTTCCAGTATCTCTTCAATGTTTTTTTTTATTATTTTCATGATTTTTTTGAAGTACTGGATAGGAATTTAGAAATTGTTAAAATTGTTGAATAATTGAAACGGGATGTGGGTTGTTGCTCAATTACTGTTTTTGCAAGTAAACGTCTGTTCGTGTTACGGAGAATCATGTAAGATTACAGCTCTACGTTTGTTTTGTGTCTCTTCTTTCAACTCGCTTATGCAATTTGCTATTTATTTAATGTTCATGGAGTTCATATATTTGCCCCTTGTGGCGCCAAAAGGACAAAATCTGACATAGAAACCTTCATGGAAGATCATATTCATTATGATGATGCGTATATACTGGAAACATAGTCATCATATCTTATGTTCTAGAAAATCTAAAGGCCATATCTGACACTAACTTCCTTTTTTCTATTACGGGAGAGGATCAAAATCAATGTACTTAAAGAAGTGGACTAAACATTTAACCCCAGAAGCGTAACATTTTAATTACTTGGAGGTTAACCGGTAACTATTAAAAAAATCATATGAAAAATAAATTAAAGTTATTGTATACCATTAAAATTCTTCTAACCTTCGGGTTTAGTGAGTAAGATCTGGATGGCTTGTCTTGTGAGTGGTGAGAATGTACTAGCTTCGGGATATTAATGCTTTCTGGGGAACTCCCGTAAGGAAATAATAACAATCTGCAAGATGTCACCCTGCCCACATCGTTTTTTCACTGGATGCATTAAGCAAGAGCAGCTTATCCAGCTTGCCTCTTATTTTATGTTTCTGATTGCAGTGCCTGCCTCTGTTGCCAAAATACTAGATTTGTTTTATAACTAACTTTTGGGGTAAGCAAGGTTAAAGTTCGAATTCATTAACATACTTGGCGCTTTGGAAGGATATGTTTTAGCCTCTCTACATTTATGCACTATATAAGCCAATACACAACTCTAGGGATACTATATACAATTTTCAGTTGAATTCCAGAAAGCTAATGCAGTAATCATGTTTTGGTGAAAAGTCCATTATCTTTTGGGTTCTGAAGGATGTGATCCAGGCTTGGGTTTCAGCCACTTGATCAGCTGGAATAAAATACTTATATTTTTTTCCCTTTTATGTTGATACTTGCAAAATATTGCTATCTGTTGTCTGTTGATATGTGCCCACTTAGAAATTCAGTAGTAAATATATGTATGGTCACAATTGGCATGTTATGCTTTATTACTTTGGCTCTGAACTCCCCTAACTTTGTTTCTTGTACTAGGTTCTTCTTTAAAATCAGTTGACCACTATGCCACTGTTATGGGCCCAAACAACTTGTCCTTCAGTTTGAAAGGAACAAGGACATCATCTGCCCCGAAAAGGACCGTCATTCTTCAAGCAAGTTACAGGTATGTGTCATCATCAGCCTGTTTATTTACCGGTTTGTTGTTATGATGTTATGAGTTGACCTTTGCCTTTTGCATTAGCATACAAGGTTTATAGGATTTCTATTGGTTGCCTATAACATTTTGTAATTATATTAGACTTAAAAATTCAATTTTTCAGAATGTAGACCTGCTGCTAGCTTTCTTATTCGTCATGGACCATATAAAGAAAGCACCAGGATAAATCTGAAAACAGCATCAAATAATCAGAAGAAAGAACACAATTGCACCTTTTCGTTTCTAATTATGTATCAAGAGAAGTTTCTTACCTTTTATTTTTGTTGTCAGTGATAGACCAAGCAGTGGAAGCATCTTTGTTGGCGGCTTTGTTTTGGGGGGGTTAATTGTTGGCACACTAGGGTGTGTGTATGCACCACAGGTGATTAAAATCAAACAGTTATAAATGGCTGCATTTATTTTTGCATGGGTGCTATACCTCTCTTTACTATGCATTTTCTTCTTACCCTGTGAATCCTGGACGGCTGGACTATTGCTGTAATTAGAATAAATTGCACATATCGTCATCCCCAATGTGTACCATCATTTGCTCTTCTATCTTCGACATTTTCTTTCTTGGCATTTACCTTCTCAATGTTTGATTTTAGGCGTAAATGGCCTTTACTGACAGTAAGGACCTTAATGGAAGAAAACAAATAAATAAAGAAAGAAAGAAAGAAAAGAAAAGAAAAACACCAGGTTAGGGATTAATGTGTAAATGGGGGTATACGTTGAGGACAATCGTTATAGTTTATTCTTATAGATATTTCTGTTTGTAATGGTATTAAGATCTTAATATATGTTGATGCATGCTTGCATACAGCATCTGGGAGAAGGAAGCTGAAGATTCATAACTAGAATGTTTCTCTGTTCCTGTCTTTATTCGGGCTAAAATCCTGCCATTTCTCCTATTCATTGCCTACCTTGTTTTGCCTTCCTCTGAGGGGTTTATCTGTAACAAACACATTATTTCCACTGAAACGTCCATGAAATTTATCAACTCGTGGAATGAATTTGAAGATATAAGATAAAAGATTGCTGCGTGAAATAACATTATTGATGCTCTTTCTTATCTTTCACAGATTAGCAAAGCTTTAGCGGGTGCTACTGCTGACAAAAAGGATCTCATGAGGAAATTGCCCAAATTTATCTACGATGAAGAAAAAGCTTTGGAGGTAATTTTTTTATCCCGTAAAGTCCTTTAATAATCAGGATCCCTCTTTCCTCCTGTTAGCTGTTCTCTTCTGATGGAAACTTTTGTTCAAAATCAATACTGGTAACCTGAGCTATTTTTCTGCTCACGTATCTGTACAAGAAAAATAAACATATTTTGCTCACTGGCTGAGACTTGAGCTAGATGCAGTTATCGTAGTTTGAGTTCTTGTAGTCTGCGGAAGAACCACAACATATTTAAGGCATGAAGTTTCCTCAAATTATGCTGTATAAATGCATATGAGTTTCGAATCTGTTAAAAGAAGACTAACCTCCCCCACCCCCAACCCACACACACACTCACACTCCGCCAACATAAACAAGAAACATCCCACTAAATAAATAATAAACTAAAGGGGAAATTGAACTATGAATGAACGAGACCTGAAACTACCTATTTTGGCTTTTATTAAAACAATAATTTCAGTGGCTGCTTGTTTAAAGTATTCATCAAATTTTGTGAAATCATTAAGATAATAAGAAATTTGTATAAAAGCTAAATATAATTTTCCACGAATTTTCCTGCAGATGAAATTAGGTGAAGGCTGACATAACTTATTTCATGAACCGAACTGACATTATGAGGATGTTTGTCTAATCATAACGTGTATGCATATAAGCAAGTTTACTTGTTAGTGGATAAGTAAGTTTTAAAATAAATAATTTTTCCTATTAGACAAAGTTGGAAATTACCTTTTACTCGGGAGTAGAAAAAGGTGATATATTTGAACATTTTTGGAAAAGAAGTTACTTATCCTTTTAAATATTGCCAAACATGCTCTTTCTGGGTTATATTACCTATAATGGCATTGGGTGTTGCATCATTGCTTTAACACATGATATTGCCTGTTTTCCATATCATCCATCGTTTTGATGCATTTGCATGCTATCCTATTTACAGAGGCAACGGAAGAAACTAGCTGAGAAGATCGAACAGCTAAACTCAGCCATAGACAACATGTCCAATCAGTTGCGAGCCGACGAACCTTCAAATGGAGTGGCTGGGAACGTGGATGATATGGAAGTTCTCATATAAGACCACTGTGTCGTTCTCTTTGGCACTTGGCCCATCTTCTTATACTCTGTTTAATTCAGATAACAATGAGGCTGTATTTGGGGATGTTCGTCTTTGCTTTTATAGTCGAGTTGTTGGTTTTTATCGGTTGATGTGGATCTGCATAATGATAACTCAACTTGTTATTTTCTTTTTTTCATTTCCATGAAACATGTGACCATCTTGTAATATTGAAGTTCATAGAATTGAACACATTAATAATGTTTCAAGGTTGTTCGTTTATTCAATGTTGGGTTGTTTTCAGTTTATGATTTGAGATTCTGTTGATCTGTAAATCCTTTTTCACTACACCAGTCTAATGTGTAAGACGGAATTGTTTATGAAGGTCCAAGTTGGAGATAGAAAATGAAGGCCTCTTTCTGAAATAAATAAATAAAAACATTAACAAAATCCAGAACAACCCTAGTTTTTTGTCGTAATGAAGCTAATGTTAATATTATTTGTTTGAGTTAAGCTATTTTGCCATATGATTTTGCCCACCTATTTGACAGATGTAGTGTTGCCAACAGATGATTGGATGCAAAAATTGAGTGTTTTTTATGGCATTTTGTCAAGAAAGTGGGCAAAATATCTGTCAATGTAGCATGATTCTATTTGTTTTGCTCGTGTGGGCCACAGTACCAACAGACGGGCCAGGCCAACCAGCATCGAGCTTTTCATAGGCTTGGATGATGCTGGCGGTCGGGCCTCTTTGACACTACAGGAAAGGGATTGCAAGAAATATAAACCGAAAATTGGTTGAATAATCTGTGCTTCAGATTTTTATGGTGTAGAGAAAAACATGATCTTATCTGATATCAATCGTCACATGGAATCCTCACCACTCATTACTTAACTCATTGACAACCAGAATTCCTCGACAAATTTAGATTTTCTTGAATAGTGAAAAACCATATATAATGTAGGAAGCTGTTCTTGTAGTTTGTTTTAGTTGCTGCAGCCATGGCTTCCCACGCAGCTCTGGCTTCTTCAAGAATTCCAACTAGCACCAGGCTTCTTTCCAAGAACTCCCATTCATTTCCTACTCAATGCTTCTCCAAGGTCATTTTCCTTTTACCTATTTAAAATGCATGTTAATGACGCATTCGACTAGTAAAGTGGATATAGCTCTCAACCTGAGGATGAACTAAACCAATACAAATATTTGTTCGCTTTGCTTATTCTCGGATTTTGTTTTAGTTCATTATTACTCTCGTAAGTAGGCACTAGGGCTTAATCAGTAACACCATCTCCTGGAGTTTTAGTCTATCTAATACTGAATCCAAGTAGTTTCTGTTCAAGTATTCTTAATTAGTTTCTTTCTGGTTGTGTAGAAGCTGGAAGTGGCTGATTTCTCTGGTCTTAGGTCCAGTGGATGCGTGACCTTCACCAAAAATACTAGGGAGGCTTCCTTTTTTGATGCAGTGGCTTCCCAACTCAATCCAAAGGTATTCTTTCTATCCATGTTTAAAAATTTAATATAATAGTGACAATTCTGCTATTCTTTCAACTACTGTATGATAAGTCGACTAGGTTTGACAAAGATTTGAGATTCTAAACGTGTGTGAGGAAGAGACTGACAATTAAGGTGGATATCTCATGTAAAAAACACAGATTTCTGATGGTAGAATGATTAAGTTGATGCGTACTTTATTTGCTGAATCAGACCATAATATGTTGTTTCTGTATAACATTAGACCGCAGGATCAGCCCCTGTCAAGGGACAAACTGTCGCCAAATTGAAGGTTGCCATCAACGGTTTTGGACGCATTGGAAGGAACTTCCTCCGCTGCTGGCATGGCCGCAAGGATTCACCACTCGAAGTGATCGTCGTCAATGATAGTGGCGGTGTCAAAAACGTGAGTTTAGCATGGGTTTCTTTGTAAGCCAGTATAGTGGCCTTTTTAGTCCTTCAGCATATTAAGCATTAAAAACTACCAAGTTTTGACTTACAAATTGCATTATAAATGCAGGCATCTCACTTGTTGAAGTATGACTCAATGCTTGGCACATTCAAGGCAGATGTTAAAATAGTTGACAATGAAACCATCAGCGTCGACGGAAAGCCCATAAAGGTTGTCTCTAACAGGGACCCTCTTAAACTTCCTTGGGCTGAGCTTGGCATCGACATTGTAATTGAGGTAGATTTGTCATCCAATCCTCTATTAAACTATGTGAAGTCTAATCATATTCTAGACCACGGATCGACCTTCCCTGTAAGGTCAACAGCGTGTTGGTCTAATATTCCTCCATAAATGATTTTAAGAAGCCGGTTTTTTCTTACCATGTCAGCATTTTCGTTAATTAGGGATACATAGTGCTTAAATTGAAACAAAAATGAAAGTTCAGTGATTAATTAGAACAGACAGATGTTTGATGATGAAAAACAACGCCACGAGTTCGAACAACCTTAAATTTGATCCCATTCTTGGACAACCACTTCCCAGTTAACTTGATGCATGCTTGGGATTTTATTAGATTTTTTATTTTTTCTAGTTAAATACTGTCCAGTATTCTGAATACGCTGATTTGACTTACCAAACATGTCATTAACATTTAGTAATCTATACTGATTAAATCATGTGGATACAGGGAACGGGTGTTTTCGTGGATGGTCCAGGTGCTGGGAAGCACATCCAAGCAGGAGCCAAGAAGGTTGTTATCACTGCACCTGCAAAAGGAGCTGATATCCCAACTTATGTTGTTGGTGTTAACGAACAGGACTACGATCACGATGTTGCTAACATCATAAGGTCAGTAGTTTTTGCTATGATCGACTGACTATCGACAAAGTGTGCATATAAATATGCAGTTATGTACACAACTAAACATGTTCTTTGTGTGTTTTACTTTATGCAGCAATGCTTCTTGCACCACCAATTGTTTGGCTCCTTTTGTGAAGATCATGGATGAAGAGTTAGGTAAGACTCGATTTTACTTCTTGCACTGCAACACAAAATTAGGCCTTCCGTCATGGCCAAAAGCTGTAACCGAATACTGTCAATGACAGATGACAAAGCATAATATGTGAGGTGTTGTAAAAAGGCTATTATGATGGTTTATAGAACCATCATAGAACGACTATTTTCTATGACGATTGTTATGATAATCATGGAACCTTATACTTCTGGTACAAATATGTTCTGCCTTTTCCTTTAAAATGACCTAAAATATAATAATGCTTTAAATTACACATAAATCGTCATACTTATACCTATGTTTTTCAAATGCTTGTATTGAAGAGCAAAGCTAGGAAAGCGTTCTAATTTTTCTAGCACGAGGCTTGACCTCCAATTTCTTGAGTTTTAGTAATTAACCAGGGATTTTCCTTTTGATTCGCAGGCATTGTCAAGGGAACAATGACAACCACTCACTCATACACCGGAGATCAGGTAATGTTACAATGAAAAACTTGTGAATCTAACAAAACAAGTCAAACATTGTTGATTACCTTAATTAGTGTCATCGCCAGAATAGAAATCATTGATGTTGATTTTGTTGTCTGCAGAGGCTTCTCGATGCTTCACACAGGGACTTGAGGAGAGCTAGAGCCGCAGCATTGAACATAGTACCAACTAGCACTGGTGCAGCCAAGGCTGTGTCACTCGTGCTTCCTCAGCTCAAGGGCAAGCTCAATGGCATTGCACTCCGTGTGCCAACACCTAACGTGTCTGTTGTGGACCTCGTTGTGAACGTTGAGAAGAAAGGAATCACAGCCGAAGATGTTAATGCAGCTTTCAGGAAGGCAGCTGATGGACCATTGAAAGGCATATTGGCCGTATGCGATGTACCTCTCGTCTCAGTCGACTTCCGATGCTCCGATGTTTCCTCAACCATAGACTCCTCTTTGACAATGGTCATGGGAGATGACATGGTCAAGGTGGTGGCTTGGTATGATAATGAATGGGGATACAGGTGTGCAATGTTAATCTTTTATATTAGAGACGACATACATATTATTTATTTAAACTTAGTCTTCCTTACACCCCTTCAAGAGCAGGCCGAATAAATGTCTTTTTGCTATGATACCATGATGAAACATATTTTCTAAAATCTTAAGCTATTAGAGAGGGGAAATAATTATTTAATTAACTTCAATGTTGAACGGGTCCATCACATGTAGGTCAGATTCATGTTTTAAACTCTACAAGATATATAATACATGGTCTCTGCTTATTCTCGTACTACAACCACCTTATCTAAAAGTTTTAGTTGTTTGACATGGAGCACCTTTACTCATTTAAATTTAATTTC